TCTGAATCTGAATCAGAACATGACGACTATTATAGCCGTAGTGACTAATGCATTTCTTATGGTTTATTTTGTAGTTACTTTTTTTTTTCTTTTTCTTATCTGTGCACTCTAAATGAGATTTGTCTATGGCTTATCGTTTTACTTAGTGCTGATTTTCTTCAACTATGGTTATGTAACTTACGTTTCTGTTTGTTCTGAAACTATTGTAACCTCTTCAACTATGATTATGTAACCTCTCTTAGTGCTGAAACTCTTGTAAAATCGGAGTCCCTCACACTGCAAACGTTCGCGGGAAAATAAAAAAGGGGGAATTAGGGTTTACATAGCGGAAATCCAGACGAAATTTCGGTAGATTGGAATGGTGAAAGAGACGAACGCCGAGCAAACCCTCGCTGGAGAAGCGTCGACCAGTCGCCGGAAGAGGCAACGAAACAGAACCCGTACAAGAAGAAGACGGCGAGAATGGATGAGGAGGAACTGCGAGTCTCAATCGGAGTGAAGACGACGGTGGTAATGAGGTGATAACGACGGAGGTACGATCGGGCATGATGTTCGAATTAGATCTTCTCGACTGTCCCGTATGCTGCCACGCACTAACGATTCAGGTCTTCTTTCTTACCTCTTTCTACTCGTCACGACTTCTCCTTTCTCTAATCCCATGCTTGATTCAGAGTAGTTTTGCAAAACTCTTGTCGTTTGTGATTTTGAGTATCCAACGAAATGAAGCATCTAGTCGTGTGAGAGGAACTTTGGTTAGCTAAATATTCATGCCCTTTACATATGTTAATTTGATTACAGGACATATGATGATTAATTTGATTACAGGACATATGATGATGATTCGTATACACCAATTTCACCCCTTTTGATACATTAGCTTGAAGGTATATAATGGATGATTATCTTCCACNGAAACCAGTTTAGATCTGTATAAGCTTACTATTTGGTTTTAGTTTCATTGACTTGTAATTTGATTCCTCAAATATAATTTCACATTCAGAATACTACATCTTACAGGTTTGGTAGTAATAACTCATTTTGTGGGTTTTGCATCCCAGTGTGACAATGGACATATAGCTTGCTCTTCCTGCTGTAAGAAACTGAGGAATAAATGCCCTGCCTGCACTTTGCCCATTGGCAACTATCGGTGCAGATTTGCAGAGAGAGTTGTAGAAGCAATCATTGTCCCATGCCCAAATGCCAAACATGGTTGCACAGAGAAGTTCTCTTATGGCAAAGAATTAGTCCATGAGAAGAAATGCGGTTTCGCTCTATGCTACTGTCCTGCACCAAACTGCGACTACACAGGTGTGTACAAGGATCTCTATAGTCACTACTATGCTAACCACAAGAACATGTGGGACCAATTTGCGTGTGGTGACCATACCAATGCCGCATGGCTACGCATAAGTGAGAAGATTTTAGTCCTTCAGCAATCTCCAGATGGTCCATTGGTTGTAATTCAGTGTTTCAGAGAGCGTAAAGGAGTGAATGTGACTGTGAACTGTATAGCACCTTGTGCTCCAGGAGTTGGGAAGTTCTCTTATCTTCTCTCCTTCTCGAATGGAGGTAAAACTTTGTCGTTTGAATTACCAGAGATGAATAGGATTCAGAAAGTGAGCTTTGAAGCTCCTGAGGAGTACAACATGTTTGTTCCTGACTCTTTGTTGGGTCAGCGGGATTTGAAGATGAAAATTCGCATCCGCCGGAT